TTTATTTTAAATTGGGGATCAAGAGGAGACAAATCAAGAAGCCACTGTTGATAAAACACTCCCCAATTTCCCCGTACTCCATAGCTGTCTTTTACTCTTTAGAGCTTATAATCTCAAACATGTACAAGATAGGTTCCCCTGAAATTCTAAGTCCAAGGTAATATTAAGGAATGAGAAAGTCCGTAGCTTGACTTAGTAAAATAATTCATGAATTTGGACAGCCCAAGATAGAGATGTGAGTTACTTAGGGAAGGGGGCAGGGGTATACGGTCCAAGAATAGAAATTGCAAATTCCATATCCAGGGAAGTAATCCTCTACAGTGTCAAAGAATTATTTTTTTTGGCACTAATTTGGTAATCCTGTTACATCCTTAAATGTCATTCACACAATTACAAAAGGCACCAGTATATATTCTGTCTCAAGTAGGGTATTGAGGTCCAAGACATGCGAAGATTTTATTTCTAAATAGTCCAATAGAGCTAGAAGAAAGCATCCAAAATAAAAATTCTTTTACACTAATTAGGAAAGTGCAGATAGAAGCATAGAGATCTCTAGCACTCAGCTTCAGAAAAGACAGATCGCACAGTACATGTCAGTGTACAAAACCAAAACAGTGTTACTGGTTACACAATATGGCAAACAAATTTTCATGGTCATTTGATTCCAAAGCTCCCAGCCATATGTCATAAAGATATTTTGATGATTTGGTCAACAAATGCAAATCTAGTTGTTCTACAGATACTTAGAAAATGTTTGGACCCTTGTAAAACAAGTTAGCTAAAATCTAACTAGAAATACAAGCTTTGAGTCAGCTGTAAACCTACAAAACATACGTGCTGATTGATTCTTCGTAACCTTTTTTTCAATGCCCCCTCTCTCAGCACAACCACAACCAAGCTAGAAAATCTTTGGGAAATAACAAGAGGAATCAGGAAAATCTTAGCTCAAGTCTTCATAGCATAGAGCACAGAACTCCCTCAGTATGTATGCACAGAACTCCCTCAGTATGTATGCACAGAACCATCCAATTATTATTAATTTATTATGTGCTACTATCAAATTGGGTGGTGGGGGGGGGGGGGTGGTGGGGGCTTCAATGGATCTCTAGGAGTGAAAAGTTTTTAAGGAAGGAATTTTAAAAGCACATGCCTCTGATTCTATAAGCTTGAAAAAAAATCCCAAGCAATTGATCAAAGAAGTACAAAAAGGAAAAAGATTTCATGAGAAACAACTAATTACTAGTTTCAGCTTCAAACAATTAGAAGAGATGCAACCGAACATGAACAAACATGTCACAGACTCAAATAAACATGACTTCAAAGGAGGAATTAAAATCTTTCATAAGAGATAAGAGAAAACTCTCAAATGATTTACAAATAACAGGAAAGGTGCTAACAGGTAGATGAACCTTCGATGTCAAATAAGATCAAACAGTATATGTTGAGAGTAATCACATGCTATGCAGAAGAGTACTATCTGTTCTATAAAAATCTTAAGAAGTGACTCCATTAGGAATTTAGTATACTACATACTATTCATAAAGAGCATCGATCAGGTTTTACAACGTTTAACTGTCAGATACACAGAACCACTATCTATAGAAGGAACTCAAGTCCACCAACTGCTGCTAATTTATGGACAATTGAAGTCACGGAAGCCAAATTATGGACAACAGTCTTTTCATCAAGACTTGAGATCACCTTCCCAATCTTTCGCAAACTTTTTCACACAAAAAAAATAAAAAATAAAAAATAAAAAAAAATACAAAATCATTAAAGGGAAATTATCAAATAATCATCAATTCAATTAATATGCAAAGTGATCAAGTAAAAACCATTTTATTAAAAATGATGGTATATGACTGGACTCTTAAATGGGACAGCGTTGCTGTGGTAGAAGAGACTAAGAATCTAGAGGAAGATAGTTATCAAGTGAAGCATGGCGATTTAGCCATGGCTAAAATGGGATTGCTTTCAAATTACAATGAAGTGAGTGCCAGAATAGCAACAGTTTAGTGTAAATGGTAGGGACTGCCAGAACAGCAACATGTAAGAGTAAAGTATGTTACTTGTATCTTTAAGCCCCCATTGGAACCCAAAAGAAAGCTATTTCACCCTGATTTGGGAACATGGATTGCATTTCCTACTTTTTGTCTGTTAAAGTCGAGCAATCTCAGATACGATGATAGCATCCAATTAGACGTTTAACAAAATCTGACCAGCTTTTTAAATATACTCATTGCAAGTTCTATCCACATGAAAGTATCATTATATGAAATCAAAGCAAAGTACACTAAACAGATATATATAAATGCGGACAAATGATACCTGCTAATCCATGGGCAAAATGGCACTTGCTCCCAAATGGGCAACTCCCGGTAGTCTCCCACTTGTTACAAATCCTGGTCTTCCAATTCGAAGGCTTCTGAGTTGGGCCATTAGCACCAAAAGCGCCGCCAACAGTGGGACTCACACTTATTGCCACACTCTCTCTAGCTCTTGATTGCTCATCATGAAGAAAGGTGCAATTCTCTCCATAGGGGCAACCTTCTTCAGTATAAAACTTCTTACAATGCCTTCCTTTATAGGTCTTCGGCGATTCATTCCGCAATTCAGTGGTGCTTATAGTAGGTATCTGGTGCTCCTCCCTCTGCTCAACAGTAACACCCCTCTCCTCCTCATGAGCAGCCACAATCTCTTGCCAATTCGGAGGCGGCTTCCGGAGCTCTTCCAAGCCATGAGCAAAATTACAGTTAGTGACATAAGGGCAAACCCCGGCACGAAACTTACAGCATAGCTTAGTCTTATAAAACATCTTTCCAATGGCTTTCGAGCGGCTGCTCGCCGCAGAGTCACCACTCTGGGAGCTCCTAGTCTTTTTATTGGGTGGCTCAGCTCCGGCACCCGATCCCGACCGGAGGGGCAGAGCTAGGTGATAATTAGAACTTGGTGTTTCACTGCCATTCCAACTTCTATACTCATCTTCAGTAGCCCAAATTGCCTGATCATTTGGATTAATCCCACCCCAATTGTCAAATGATCCACCCATTTCCGAAAACCCAGGTTCAGTTCCAAAATCCATCCAAAAAATCACAATAAAAAATCCCCCAAAACAAAACCTAATTCTCTACACCCCAATTTAGGAGAAGTAACCTAAAAGCCCTAATTTTCCATGAACATAAAGATTAAGCAATAGGGCAAAATTATAGCTAAGATTTTGGGGGAATTTTGTACAACACTATAAACTAAACTAAAATCAAATCAAAGCAATAAACATTCAAATGCAGAAGAACCCACACATCAGTCACCAGCAGCAGAATGTGAAGAACCCAGAAATTACAGTTGAAAAATTCTCAACTAAACTGCAAAATGTACATGAAATTCAAGAAAATTTCACATTTACAAGTACCCAGATAGTAAAAGATGAAAACTTTACCATAATTTAAAGATAAGATGAGCAGATTCCACCCAAAATTGGGAGTTTGCGAAAATCGAGGATATAGTAGAGAAATCTTAGAGTTGCAGAAAAATGGTAGTGGGATGTACGAGAAGGCTGAAAACTTGAAGAGAGAAGAGATAGAAAATGAAGATAAAGAGAGAGATTGACATTAAGATTGTACCATTTTCAAGGATGTGTTGTTTGGTGCAGTGATGATGAAGAGAGCGCGAGGAAGTAGAAAATATGGCAGATAATATAGCAGTAGATATTCTTTTAATTCTGTACGAATTATGAGTAAACCATAACTTTATTATTACTACACTGACATAATTATATTATTACATGGAAATTTTTGTTTTGTTTTTGCTATTTAGGGATTGTGGTTGGATAAGGCAAATCTCTTGAAAATATCTTTTGTCTTAGCAAATGTTAGACTTGACGAAATTTACTCGACCTAAATTGTTCCAAATGTAATAAGAAGAGGATGACTTGAATTTGACTAGCATTGCGAAATTTGAACCAAACATATCTATGAACATTAAATAAAGTGAAAAATTACGTGATGGGTTATGTTCAACCTTATCTGTCAAACTTATGCCATATTGCCATTGTTTAACATGTGTGTAAAAATACAATTACAAAGTTGAAGGCTTATAAAATACATTGATGAGCTTTATCCTATAAAATCATTTAGTTTCAAGGACTATATCTAATTAATCTAAGTCACGAAAAAATTACATTTGTTTTTCAAATTTATGACACTATATAAGAGATTTGAGATCTCAATGTTAGATATAAAGGCATGTAAATTCTCATGATAGACTAGGTCACAAGAAAGTGTCTTGAATCCTTTAATATTTTGACATTTCGTAACAAATTTAAGAATTCAATGTTAGAGTTTGTAAAAAAAAAAAACAAAAAAAAATACAAAATTAAAAATTAAATAAATAAAAAATCAATGTTAGAGATGAAGATGTGTAAGATATCGTGATGAATCATGTCACACTAATCACCCGGTCCCAAAAAGGTGAGTAAATTCTCATAATAGACTAAGTACCTCTAATTACAGTCACAAGAAAGTGTCTTGTATCCTTTAAAATTTTGACATTGTACAGCACATTTAAGAATTCAATGTTAGAGATGAAGTGTGTAAAATCTTGTGATGAATCATGTCATATGGAGATAACTAATTACCCGGTCGAAAAAAAAAACCTTGTATTATGCATAGTTATGAGTCTTATGACATTGTATACAAGATTTGATAGAAACTTGTCGACACCCTCGAGCTTACTTTCAAAAGTTTCTCATACATGAAAATTGTGTTACTAGTCTTACCCAAGGTATCAATCCCTGATGTATAATCTTGAATAAATGTGCTATTATTACTGCTCTTGCTCATTTTCCTACAATTACAGGTAAGTTTTACTGATATTTTTATTCATGTATTTTGGAGTTTTGCTTATTACAATTATCAGATCATCAAGTAGAAAAAGAAGATATTTAAGGAAATAGAGATAAAGACAGAGCTAATCTTCATACAAATAAGTGCCATGAACAGATGTACAAGAAGGCACCAAGCAAGAACCCAATAGTTCATCTACTCGTACCATCCACGTTACCTTCATTTTATCATACATTATGTCCAGATGATACAACTGATTTTGTTACCTAAGGCAGTGCTAAATCCTAAGGGCATCAACATAGTTAGCCAAGAGGAGTAGAGGACATTACAATGGAGGACAAAGGGAAGAAAGTAAAGTGATTTCCTATTTTGGAATATAATCGGAGATGTACAATGAAGAATAAACATTATTATGAACAAGTGAACTAATATGGAATGATGGTGTATTCAACATACAAGAAGGCACAGAGGAACAGATATATTCCAGTCAAATTGAGGAATCTTCAAGATGGAAAGCAAATGACTCCGCCAATTCAACAGCGTCTTGAACCCTAAGCCGAGTCCCCTGTTGGCCAACAACTACAGCTGCAATCCTAGCTGCTAATGTACCCATGTCTTTTACATCTGATACTCCTCGCAATATACCGTACAAAATCCCTGATGCATAGGCATCTCCTGCTCCACATGTGTCTACTGGTACACAAGGTGATGGAGGGATGTATACAGATTCTCCTCGCACCCCAATATAGGATCCTTGGGGTCCATCGGTCACAGACACAAGTGGGACAAAATGGCTTAGATACCTTGTTGCAGAAGCTGTGCTTTCCTTCAATGAAAAATTACACAGAGCTCTAGCTTCATCACTATTTGCAAAAATAACATCAGCATAGTTCCCTATTATTTCCCTGGAAACATGAAGAGGTGCCATATATCAGTCATGGAAATTATTTAATGTAAACAGAGGCATGATAAATAATTAAATGAAATAAAAAAAATAAAAAAAATCAGAGGAGGTAATTTTGGTTGAAATACAAGTATACAACATTAAATAATAGCCGCATGACCTGCTTAATATAAATGTTGGTGCAAAATCAAAAGTTCCGAAAAAGCCACTTTTATAAAGCAAATGCATATACTTTGTACACTGTATACTACTTAACTACTCTGATAAATCCAGTATTCTAGACTTCAAACCTTATGAACCAAATTACAGCAAAATGTAGTCAGCTGCATGGAAGGCAACCCTTTCTCTTCCCATGTGGAACTAAAATTATAGCTTAATCACTAATATATCAGGCAATTATAAGCAAATACATCAAGCTGCTTTTATGGTAAATTTCATATGACTTCGAAAGGTTGAGAAAGATGAGATAACGAAGATATCTTAATCATGTTTGAATGTAACTTAACATGGAATATTCTATTTGATATCCAAGATATTGCATATCCACTAGCAACCATGCGTTTTCATCAATTTTCATCACCATTGAACCATCCCATTACCACCAAGAGACAAGGGGATGAATCATAGCAAATGCCTAAATACACATAACTGATCATGAATCCTGCACATTAGTACCATAAACTATGTACTAAAGGAACCATGCAATTAGTGAATGAGGCATAGCAAATGTCTAACCAGTAATCATCATAGTGCCGCTCAATGCAGGACACATCTGATGCTGTAACTGCAACAAGGGCTCCATTGCTGTGTGCATCTTTGCATGCTTTTGTTATTGATTTAATAGTATCAGGGAGTTCAAATAAATAGCCTTCAACAACAAGAATGCTTGTCTTGGAAACTATGTCGGACAGTCCAGAATCATAGTTGATTTTGGACGACGTTCCCTGCAGTCAGATTGATATAGATGTATAAGTCTTTCAAACTGGAAATTTGAATAGATTAGATGTGCTTCAAACAAATCTTAAGAAAGTGCAAAAATCCGGTATGACAAAACTAAGCAATAAAAAATTGGATCGAGGAACACTTTGGAGAGGCAAAATAACTCAAGACAAGCATGTGCGCACGTCGGTAAGTTAGTGCATTGGTTTAAAATACTCTTTTATAAATATAAAGCTAATGACAGAAGATCATAGAAGGTATCAATAATTTATTGAGATATAAGCAAGAAATCACAAAGATACCAATCAAATCCTAAAAGGTCTCCTGCAATCATACCCTATCAATTGAGCTGTCAGGGATATAAAAAAATTATTAATTCATTGACAGTCACCTAAAGGGAAGAGTACCCTTCCCTCCAACTCCCTTTGAGCTTCCAGCTCAAATTTGATATTTGGTGTATTCCTAATCCTTTTTAGGGTCAAAACATAACTCAGCTTTCTTCAGAAAATAGTACATAATCAAAGAACAACACTATCCTTTTCTTTGTCGTTGTTGCTGTTTTTACTCTATGGCAAAGCCTGATAATGATTTTGGTGATGAGAGGGTTTGGAATGAGAAAGGGCTACACTGCTACTTGATGTAAAATGTCATTGTTGATGCTTAGTGTATCAACAGCATTATTTTCTTGGGAACTTTTATTCTAAAATTAGTATAAGTTATAGCCGCAGATCTATTAGCTACTTTTAAAAATTGATTTCGAGGAAGTTTCATACGCAGCAAATGGTAACTAAAGAAACATACAATGTCTGCGATGTCTGACAAATTGCATAAGGCACAAGCTAGAAGGCAAGAATTACACATTAAAGAAGCATAAAATATCTGTAATTCAGTATAACACCCTCTACAGCAGATGATAAAATAAAATCCAAACCATTTGCAACTCTGTAAATCTTACACGGGTAAACCCAAGACAAAGACCTGCCTCATAATCATGAAAGTAGTGGCTGTGCTAGAAACCCTCGGAGTTATATTGATTTAGGCTTTTGACAAACATTGACCGATTACTGTAAGATATAGAGAAACGATTGAATACCTGATATGCAAGCATTGTGCGCTGGGCATCAGGAGTAGTAAGAACTATAACTGTCCCAGTTATCCCATCCTTGAGTGGTGTAGACAGAAAATCAACACCTGCTCTACGCAATTTGGCCCTACAAAAATGCCAGGAAACGTCAATATTACTAGTATAAAGTTGTACTAAGCAAAGTCCTAAGCTTCAGCAAGAGCAGTCTTCCGCATTGTATACACCCACAAACTATTCATCGTAGGAATACAAATTTTACTAAGAATACATAGGCTGCAACATGAAGCAGATCTGAATAAAGGACTAGACTAAGTCAACAGCAACAAGTAATAACTGACAAAAACCTACGAATGACTTAAACTTGCAATAGATGAATAGACAACTTGTATATTCTAACTTGCTTTTGATATATATAGTTGGATAATGTAACTGTATTTTCAGTAAAATTTTCAACAGAAGCAAAAAATTTGAGGATCATCCAGATAAATAAGTATCCAAAATTTAATAAAGTGCTTATACCTCATCCATGAAGGACTCACTAAGCATCTCATATTTCTTTATACTTAATCAAATCAATTGAAGGGAAATACAAAAGAGAATAACCCTCACCTGTAGAATCCACCCAATGGATCACTACCAACACTGCCCGCCATGGCAACATTCAGAACAGGCCCTCCAACAGGAAGACTACCAAGCCTCGAAAGAGCAACCAAACTATTGGACAATGATCCACCAGCAGCAGCCTTGTAGCTACAACCATCCATTGCGCGCAAAACTTTACCTCTTTCCTCATGATGCACAAGCCTCCTTGTCCCCTTTTCTAAATCCAACCTCTCAAGAAATTCCTCATCGACAACTCCCGAAAAGTCAACCTATATATAAGACACATAGAGAGTGAATGAACTTATAATGTACCCATGATAAAATAATGGCAGAATAAGGGAGTTCAAAGGTAAAAACAACTTGTAATTCTCTTTTTGCTAAGGATAATACAACATCTTTTGCATCAGAACAGCATATACACAAACACAATCAAAACTCCACTTTTCTTATTTGAAAGCAATTCAATAGCCAAATTTTACTTAAGCAGAACCTCCTTTACATGATCATGTCATACAAATGCTGAAATATGAAGTTACCAACTTAGCATTATCGACGGTCCCGGCCGGGAAGGGGAGTGAATAATGTATAAACAAAAACAACCACTAAATCATACAATGGGTTTTGAATACATAGACAACAACATTCACTTAAATACTCCATCGTCTCAGTTTAGTAGTCACATTACTAGTTCATATTAACACTATCAACGCGACAACTAATTCCGAACCAAAAATAACTCGATAAAAAACTTATAAAATCAGGGGAAAAAATGAGGATAAAGATAATACCATAGCTTGGCCAAGACCCAAAACATCCCAACGGTCAACATCAGGAAGATTAAACCCAAACTCTTCTTCTTCAGCATCACTCACAATTTCAGCAGCATCTTTAAAAGGCTCATCGTCAGCGGCGGCGCTGCTACTACTCTCGGTAGAAGCAGAACCGTCAGAAGCGGCGGAGTAGGCGGCGATACTACGTCGAGAATCTTCAAAACCCTTTATAAATTGATTAGAAGAAGTAAATAAAACGGGGTTGGGTCTAATTAAATTTAGTTTACTTCCGCATAATAAGGGTCCAACTCCATGAGAGTAATTAACTATCTGTTTATGATGATTCCGGAGAAACCGGAAGAGTGCTCCTGACTGCGGAATTAGAGAAGATGAGGCGGCGACAACGGCGGCGGTTGTTGGGGAAGTAGTGGTTAAGAATTGGAGAGAGATTGACATTGCGAAAAATGCAATGAAACTTTTTAATCTATCTAGAATGTGGTAAGGTTGAATTCAGGTCTGAGTCGAGATTAGTCGGAATTTAGTAGGCTCGGAATTATATAATAGTTGTAACTTACTTAAAGTTAGAAGGATAGAACAGAATTAGAAGGTTTATCAGCTACATTCAGTGGAGGAGAGAGAGGGATTTCCTCGCTCAACTCCCTCTGTAATGGTGTAATCTGTGAGGTTTGCTTATCCTTTCAAAGTTTCCCTTCTTTTTTTTTGGATTTGTGGATGAAAGTATGAAACGTTGTTATATTTATACGGAGTATCCAAATCTACCTGCCCAAGTAATCCAACTACGAAGTAATTCTGTGGAAATTTCTGATTTACCCTTTATAGTTGGCCTCATTGAACCCAGTAAAAGGAAATGGGCCTTTTTCTTGCCTGCTGACGTCGGATCATGACCCATGACCCATGAAAGTGGGTAATATAGCAAAGCTAAACAGCATGCTTCATAAGTTGTTCAAGTAATTCATCCACGATTTTATTTTGCTTTGGTTGCATTATTGCAATTTTTGTTAAAAGAAAACATAATAATATGGAGTAAACTGCATAAAACAAGGCTAATTAGTTGATATAGTATCATATAAGAGTTGTTCAAGTATTGCTTTCTCACATGTTAATTGTAAGGTCTTAATTTGTCTAGTCTCTATTTAATAAATTTCAACAAAAGATATTGGTGATAGAGTATAAAACATATTTCTGTTGGTCCTTTAACATGGTATCGAAACCAGTGTGACACAAAGGTCACGGGTTAAAATTTCAAGGGCTCTATGTGAAAGAGAATATTTCGCGTAGGCCGCAGGATATGCAAAGGACCCGTACTGCATTCACATTTCTAGGGCTCTCATATAAGAGGAAGCGATAAAGTATAAAACACATTATTCAGTCACCCCCTATGCCATTATACCACCCAAAATTATCTGTGAATCAAAGAAAAGATTTTTTCACTTATGGATTAAACATTGAAATCAAGTAGTAATTCTAGCCTATTTTCTAAACCTAAAACCGAACCCGACTAAATCGATGTCGGGTCCGAAACTAAATGCCCGGTTATATAACTCACCCCTTGCGTTTAAACCAGTCCATTTTTCCAGTTCTGGAAGCTGCCAACATCAAAAAGGAGAGAGAGACGAACACACAGAGAGAAGAAATTAGGTCGAGTGGAAAGCAAAATGAAGGAGACTACAAGAAACAAGGAAGAAGAAGAGAGAGAAAAGGTTTGCAAGAGATGCAAATCAAGCTTCAACCCTTGTTCAAACACCCCTTCTTCCTGCCGTTTTCACCCTTCTTTCTTCGTTTGTCGTCGTCACGATGATCAGAAGAGGTATTCTCCAATCTTCCCTTTTTCTAATCTACTACTGTATTTTGTCATTTTATGAATGTGTTATTGTGAAATGGGTATTATTGTATTGCATGTTAACAAATTTTCTGGGTTTTGTTTATGTGGAAATGATATAAATTGGGTGATTGTGATAGTGTTTTGTGAAAATTTGAAGAAGGGGCTTTTAATTTATAGGATTAATCAATGTTGTCTTCATTGTAGTTTGATTAGAACCATCTTTTTGTGATGAATTGATGATTGGTTTAAGTAGTTGTGGGTGAATAATGTCATGTAATTGTAAAGAAATGAAATAAGGAAGATCGATAATAGCGCAATAAACCTCTAGCACTCTTCATTATGGACATCATATTTAACATATTTGTATATCATGAAGCATTGGTTGAGCTTGACTTGATATGGTGCCCACAACCTTTAGCAATGTTCATTGATCATTGAATGTATATTATTTGTATATTATGAAGCATTAGTTAAGCTTGATTTGTTAGATTTTGGTGGTACAGTTATATCACCAAAATAGATAAACAATGCAAAAGCAAGCTAGCATGTAGTATTAAACCTAAGTCATCAGTAATGCTTGGGTCTATGTATCATGCTATATCCACTAGTTACAAATTTCTACCGTGTTATATACGTTTATTTTAAGTTGTTGAAGAAAAGCTCACATAGTTGCTTTCACATTTTCACCTCATCTTTGTCCTCTTCTTTGTGCTCTCACTTTCTTTCAATTAACATGCTGTTTCAAAGTTTGGTCGGAAGTATCCTTGTAAGTCATGACATTTTGGAGGTTTTTGCTTTCAAATTTACTTTATTACTGAGATGAGACCCTTCCAAGATAAGAACTAAATTGAGATTGGAGTTATTATTAGGGAACATGATGCTATTGAGTGGGTGTTTTCTTCTTTTTATGAGTCTCTTTTTAAGGATAAAGAAGTTGATTATTCTTGTATTATTCTTCTAGATTTGGGTCCCTTGTTAAGTTATGAGTCAGATTGGGGTGGTGTGTAAATCTATGAACTCTATCTTAATCAAATTAGTTCTGAGAAGGAAGAATCTATTTGTTTTAAAGAATTAAGTCAATAGAGTATTCAGATTTAGTTGATGTGTTGCACGATAGTCTCGTCTCTTGTGGCTGTTTTCGGTTATCAATCTTGGAGCCCTTGTATCTCAATATCTAAATAAAACTTCACTGGAACACTCACCCTGCTTTGTGATTTGTTGTGCTGGTAGATATATTGCTACATGTATTATCAACTGTTTGCCTTCCTAGAAGCAAACCTTTCAGCACTGCAATCAGAAGCTTCTCTCTCTCTTTTTTTTTAATTTTTAATTTTTAATTTAAATTCATTGTATGTATATGAATTACAAGCCTACACCAAATTTAACATAATTGTAAATCTTGAAGCATTGGTATGTTTGATTTTAGGTTTTGGTGGTACCAGTTATTTCACCAAAACTGTATAAACGATGCAAAAGCAAGCTAGCATGATGTATCAAACCTAAGCTATTAGCAATGCTTTGGTCTATTAGTCATGTTATATTACCTAATTACAATCTATCATGTTATCTTGGTTGATTTTGAATTCAGAATGAAAGTTTGCATAATTCCCTTCACCAAATTCTTCATCTTTGTCTCCTTTTCTGTGCTTCTCACTTTTATCAACTGAATTATGCACGTAGATAAAGTTGGCTGAGCAGTACTGCACCAATGATTGCTTTTATAATGCCTGGTGAGAATGCAATGTTAAATCAGCTATACTGAATTACCGATGATGAATGATGATGAATGATGATGAATGATGTACATTGTATGCCAGACAGCTCTAAGTGCATATGGTTTGATGTATACCTCACATGAATGTATATGCGATAAGTAATAGATTTTCACTAATTTGTAATCTAAATTTCTCTGTAATTTACAGTCCTTCAATGTATATAGCAGTTGCAAGAATGGATTTTGTTACCGTTTTTGTTAGTTCAAAGTATATAATAGGGAAATTTGTCCATCACTCCAACCATTTATTTTGTTTTTGTGAAATACCTGAGTGTATTTTATGATGAATTTTACCTATAAATGATGTCATAATAGATGCATTTAGAGCTAACTTATTACAGTATTTTTTATTTTTGAATTTGATTTCATTCCATTATTGCATTCCTCAAATTTGAACCATTGCTCTACATAATCTATGTCAAACAACTGAACAACCTCATGTTCCACCGTTACTTTTTATTTATTTTTTCCTACTAAACAAACAGCCCCGACTATCAACAAAATGTTTTTAAAGACCATTAATAATCCCTCCTGTCTCTTAAAAATTTCCTCATTCCCCTTTCTCACTTTATTGAGAGTTTTAAATGGTGTATCCGTGTATGGGGTGATATCGGTGCCGATATCATATTACCCAAATACGGGTCGGGTTATTGTCAAGATACCAATTAGGCATACCGGTCAGCACTTCATAACGGCACATCATATGGTCACTCTTCACCTGCCACGTGGCGGGTGACTACCAACACTTGGCATCTACTCCTTTCGTTTCCATTTGTTTTTGACGTTTGGAATTATGCGCGGTTATTAAGAATTGTGTAAAGTATAGGCACTTTGGAATAATTCAATCATTGAAAGTACAATTCTATCTTAAAAAATAATATTGTACATGTGGGTTAAAGAAATTAGAAGAAAGAGGAAAGAGAAAGTAATAATAAGTATTGGAAAACCAGCTTAATAGTACAAAAAGTACAATTGCACATGAAAAATTAAAAGACATTTGAGTATTTAAATTGTAAAGCAAGGGTAATTTTGTCTAAAATTTATGACTAAAAAAGGAAAGATGAATGTAAAGAATAAAAAGGAACTCCTAAAATGAAAACGTAAATAACGAAAGGGAATGGAAGGAGTATGTTAGTTACATGTCATGCAGCCACCTGGCAGTTGGATTTCCTATAAATAGCCACTTAAGTCTTTCATTTGTAGGTAATTGCAATCTCTCTATCTCATTCTTCTGCCTCTTTCTAAATCATCTCTAACTTTATCATCGGAATGGTTATTCTCGGATTCACTCCGGGGTTAGCCAATCTACTTTGACTGTGTAGGTGCTTAGCTAGACGATAGGGTATTCGCAGATCTTGGATATAGGTTGTCGAGTTACATCCAGAACAAATGGGAGGTATATATTTAATACGAAGTATTTCCTACCACTTGGTAGGGAGGACCGCAGGTTCGATCCTCTGCAATAACAATTAGAATGGGATTGAAACCTAACCACCCAAAACTAATCTTAAATCTGAATTAGTCCAAAGAGTGAACCGGGTAGAGCAAGTTTTAAGGAACGAAATGAGTTCATACTCCATATTAGGCATCTCTCCTGCTCTCCAACTACAAACACCGCGTCGGCGCGTAGCCTAAAATTGGGCAATCCAACTACAAAAGTACAAAATCCAAAGTCTCCGCAATTCCCTGAAAAGTCCGTCGACGTTTCAGCTGTTTTACTTGGACCTTAAGATTCACACAAATTCTCCTTCTCACTTCCCTCTTTCTCTCTCCTCTCTCGTCTTCCTCAATCTTCAACCATTTCATCTCACAATCTCAATTTCAATTTTCAAAAATGTGGATTGAGGTAATTTGTGGTGTAATACTCTACAAAGTACTCCGTATGTTCTTCGGAAACGACGACGTTTTGGACATCGAAACCTCCGATTTCAACGCCATTTTCTCCGTCGCAACTAGGTTTGTTTACTCTTTTCATTATTATTATCGTATTTAAGTTTGATTATTGTGTGATGATTATTATGGTCGATCAATTTGATTGTTCTAATTTTGAATTGAAGAATTTAACAAATTTTATTTCATTTGAAAAATTTGATTAACGAATTTTGTTTTTCAGACTAGAGAAATTGTATGGTGGAAAGGCGTATGTTGGTCTTCGGATTCCTGACGCCGATTCCGGTTCTCGTCAAAGTATTGATCTGGTTCTTGTCACTAAACGGTAATTTTCAATTTTTATTTTTATTTTTATTTTATTTTATTACTGTGTTAAATTTGTGTACTACCTCGGTCCGAATTTAGTTGTCCCGCTATTAGTTCAAATTACGCTATCGTTGTCACTATTGATTGATTTCGGATGGAGGGAGTATTAATTTTCGTGATCATCAAATCATGTACTGTCTATTAGGAGTGGTGTGGTTTAAGGGAGAATTTATGCATGCAACTTTGTTGGTTGTAGTAATTTTGTTTATACACCGCTTAGTTGTTTAGGGTTTATATAAAGCCTTATTTTGGGGTTGTTTTGTAGGGAGGCAGTGGTGATTTGTGTCAAGAATTTGGCAGGGTTTGTTTCTGTTAACGCCGATGGAAGTTGGCTTTGTATAAGTGAGCACAAACATAAGGAAGAGCATCATCCCAATCCTGTAAGTCATGTGATTCAGTTTGCACAATTTACTTGCTAAAAGGGTTTTGTTTTGTTGATAGTTTGTGTTACAAACGCCAAGAGTTATTATTGCGTGTTTGTTGAGCACAAATTACCCCCCCTCCCCTCATCTCTCGGTAGTAGGCCATAATTCTGTTTCGGGATGTCCCAAAACTGATGGCCTACTTTTCATATCTACTAAGTCTGATTGTGTGTGCGTGTGTGTGTTTATTCTTTAAAATGTTATTTACAGTTGAAGACAACCAAATTTAAAATTTGGTGAAGTTATATATGAAGTAATAAATTTTTGTTAGCTGATATCGAAACATTTTTTCATTTGACTGAAAGAATAAGCTGACGCTTTACTTTGTGCATTCATTGACTTCTTGTCGACTATTTTTATTTCAAAAGGAATGTGATACTTTGCTTTGGAGTGCAGTTGTTTAATCATTGCATTTGTTGTCTTGTGAGGTTGGCTTCCAATTCGATATCGAAATGTTTTTCTTTTTCCGGATGTTATAATTCATGAAGACAATTGATCTCTATGCTGTATAATTGGTGCAACTTCACGTTGATGTGATTGTGACTTTGTTGCAAGTGTTTTAATAATATTGTTTGAGGAGGTAGCTGCTTAAAAATAAATATATAATGTATTTCATGAACTTCAATGAAGTGTAACATATGTTACTTTGGGCAGTACAGTGGCTTGTTAATGTTATGCATTGGATTTTCTTTCTGATATGTAATTTATAGGATGTCTGATCATTTGTGATGGGGTACTGTGTAAACATTTCACCCATGTGAATTTATGGCGTTGTTTTTTCATTGCGGAATTTAAATCTTTTTTGCTTGTTGGTTGGCTGCTTTGGTTCAGAATTTATGATTTGTGTTTCTGGATATGATTTTATGCTTTTTTCTTTCCCCCCTGCTAGGTAGCAGAAGCTAAACAGCAGGCCTCTATTCTAGAAGCATATCTTGAACAAAGAGGAGTTTCTCTTCCTGAAGGATATCTTTCCTCCAAAGTCATCATTTCCAACCCAAAGTTCCGGTAATCTATATTTCATTGTTGTATTATATTGTTTTTGTTTGTTACACTGTACCATACTTAAAAGCAAATCCAGTCATTTGTTGTTATAAATTTTATCCCTTTTGAAGCCTATATACTGTAAACTACCTCCTTTCCCTTGGAACTTATCTTCGATTTTTGTAATTGTTTTTAGAGAAATATTCTAGATTGTGGTTACACAACTTTAGATGGTTGCATCATGGTCCAACATTGTGTTTATTTTTTTAGTTTAATTTTTTACTTCAATAAATCTGAAAATGAAGGAAAGAAGAATTTTGCGTATATATCGCATGCTTTCTTGGTTTTGAAGATAATTATTGGTTTGTGAATTTCGCACTACGTAATCTTTTCTGATAGACATGCGGTCCTTTTCTCATTGTAGCATTTAAGACATCTAATTTTTCCTTTTATGGTATAAAAAAAAATAAAATAAAAATACAGAACATTAAATCCAGACCACTTCCCACCAGAAGTCATACAGTATGAAAATTGGGTAAACTTGAAACCAGAATCAAAAGGCGTGCTTTCTGGATGGTTTAAAGGGGCATTTCGTGCTGGAAAGAAAGATATACAGGAATCTACACATCAGCAACTTCAATCTATTCTTAGCACTGCTCCAATGTGGGATAGGTATGTTTCCGAATCACTATTTTTGCCTGTTATATATTTATGGACCTTTTTCTGCAGCATCTTTCTTCCATTTTACTTGAGAAGCTTATGACTCATTACAAGTGATGGCCTAAAACATGTGAAATGTGAAGCTCAAGTATGGTGTATGCTATATGTTTTCCTGATTTTACCGTCACAGGAGGTAGAAGTATACAAGTATTTGTTTGTGATTAAAATTTACTGCAATTATATTTTGGCTCTCATGATGAGTGGGATGTGTGTGAGTGAAATTCTAGGGCTTTGGAGTTCGAGTGAGGTGTTCGTATCTCACCTGTTTGAGGTTTTGACTTCTCTAGTTCTCATTGAGTCCTTGAGCCCATTGTTACACACAAAGAATGCCAATGGTACTCTGAAAAAGTTTATGTTGTCTGTCTGTTTGTTTTAAAATCAAAATGTTTTGGTGTACTGGTGTCTGAATTGGTTTTCTGAATTTCTTCCAACCATTGTTTTTGTAACTTGGTGAAAATGTGCATCAGCTCTCAATGAGTTCACTTGTGTAGGTTTTGCTTTGACGTTGTGGACTTGTGGTTGGTGTGTGTGTGTGTGTGTGTGTATTGGGGTATGCATTTTTCCTGTAGTGCAGTATTTTACTATTTAGGTATAGAGCTGTGTACATTTGGATCTCTCTAGACCCTGTTTTGGCAGTGTTTATACTAAGTTATTGCTGCAGAAATGTATCCAAACACATAGTTTGATTCTTTGCATATTATTACTGCTTTTTTTTAAAGAAAAAAAAAACTGACAATCGAGAATGGAGTCACAGGGGCTTCCATTGGCCTGCAATTGGCCAAGTACTTGAACATATAATGTTCCAGTTGCACAAATCATGTAAAATTAACTTTTTTGTTTATATTTATTTTTGCTGCATAGGCTGGAGCTCAAAGCCAGCAAATATGTGTTAGGAGAATTTCTGGAGTTCAAAGGCAAGAATGAAGATATTCAAGAGTTACAATACATCAAGAGGTCAAAAGTTGGCCAGATGATTGTACAGAAAACATCAATGTTTGGCTTTGGTAAGCTTTCTGCTTTTGCGGCTCATTAATTCATCCAAAAATGTTTCTTCACTTGTATATCATTTTTTGTATAAAACACAAGGCGCCAAGGATTGCATGCAAGAGAGTTATTCATTTGAAGTTGCCTACTTGAAAAAAAGATAATAAGATAAAATTAAGAATAAAATGTTTTAAAAGAGGGATTTGACAGTGAATTTATGATCTGAAAGTTGGTGTATTACAACTATTTTGGCCTTATGCTAGAGGCATAAGGCTAATTTGACTAGCTGAGTGCCTGAGTGTGAGCTTCCAGGCTGCAAAGCGCAGTATGGGCTTGGATTATTTCAGTTCTGCCAGTATAGAATTGGGTTTGGTTGGGCCTGATTGCTTAAGCATTACTTATAGGGGCAACTATGGCACATTCAATATAAACCTGGATAACTTCAAGGATGACACATTCAAGATGAAAAATGTAACAACATTGTTAAAAAAAAAACAAATGAAATCAGGAAAAGAAACAAAGTTAAAGATTTGTCATGGTGCCTGTCTGCCTGAAGCTTGCCTACCCAGGCTCACTTTGTGGGTAGGGGTGTGCTAAAATGCAAATGTATACTGGTTAGCTGCAGTGTAAAGGAGGTCCTTGTGCAGGAAAAAAAATGAATGGCTTGAATACGAAAGACAAAATTAGTTGGCTCTTTTCCATGTTATGTATTGCTAGTTGTTCATGTATATAGTGTGCAAACTTTAAACCACTGGACTTACTGACTGAGGTTCCCCTCCACACTGTGATTATACACGTTATGCCCTACCAACTAAAAAGCTAGGAGAAAAATGATGACAGTAAAGTTAAGTTGGTATGTGTGAAATTTATGAATGATATTCTTGTGTGTGAATTATTGAGCTGTCCTGTTGCGATGATTGTTGATTGCTTTTCTGAGTTATACCATTAGAATTTTCTTTGGGTTCATCTTGGCTGCTTCCATTTCATAGGTTTAATATTTTGTATTGCAGCTCCAACAAGGCTTCAAGTTTTGTACTGCTTTCGCGATTATCGAACTGAAGCCTCTTCATCTTCTGAGTGGAAGGAGGTGACTGTCAGGTCAAGTACTGAAGTTGTATTTCAGCCCCAGAATGCCAAGAAAGTCAGGAAGTTCAAGTTATCCGCTATTACTTCTCTGACACTTAGTGCCTAAGGACAGTACATTGCTCTCAATTAGAGGTAACTTGACTACTTGAGAGGAATCTAGGTTTGTCTTAACTGTAATATCCTATGCCAATGACTCTTATCATTGTATGATATGAATATTGAATGTTGAATTTCAATTGGTATACTTTAGATCTTTCGAGCAATAATATAACCAGATGAATTGCCCGATGTACTTAATCACGGAAAAAGGCCGCGACAATCAACGTAATAATATACTCCGTACTTCCTTTATTGCTCCTCTGTACTTATTTTAGTCGATTTTCTGCTTAAGTCTCTGAAGCTAGTCTCTTTGCTTGCAATTATTTTTAAAATGTGTGTTATCTGAATATCCTCTGGCTGTTGGTGGCAGAGCAGACGAGCAGTAGCCAACCGATTTTGATTTGGTATGGGTTTGGGATGTTAGCCATATATTTATTGTGGGAAAGACTGCATGTGAATTTGTAGTGACTATCACCCATAACGGCTCAAAGAAAGAACAATCTTTAGCACTTACCTTCTTATCAATCTTCTGTATAGACTTTCTACTAGAAAAGGCGTTCGTTGTTTCCTAGAGGTCTCTCTGTTCTCCTTTAACCATTAAGCATTTGAGCCTTAGGTGCTTCCTAATTAGGTTAGAACTAGTGATAGTTTGCCAAAAATCACTGTATGGGTGCAGTACAAATCTTGATTTGCACTTGAGCTGCAAATAGATAAATAAATCGTCATATAGTGTATGGCTCTCCTTAAGATTAGATAAATGTGAGTTGAGGTTCATGTTGTGGCTAGTTGCTTCTGCTTTGCTGATCGATGGGTTCTTCCCTCCAAAAACGATCTGCTCTATTGTAATTACAAGATATATATATATATATATATATAACAAACCAACCATAGAAGAGAATGGTTGGGAGGGGATTTTGATATTGATTTTCATTGCTGAAGTTATTTTTGCACTTAATCTTCAAAATTACATCAAGAAGATGAAAAATAATGAATTTTCATTTAGTTACAAGCTTTCAATCATATTCTGGTGCTGAATAAAGAATGAGGCCATATGTACATGAACTCCATTCAGTTTGGACGGTGGCATCTTACTAGTGCAGCTGGAATTGACCATTAAAATTCACCATCAACTCATTGAGTTTCTTGTTGCTTATCCGTTGTGGATATACTCTTGTATCCTCTGAGCTGCACATAATTAAGCTTAAGATTAAGATATGAGCTAATCTAATCGGTTTACCATTTAACTCTTTGACTCTTCTCTGTCATCAGAAAATAGGAATACTAAAGAAAGGCAATTATAGTATGGCAGAGAGGAAAGTTGTATTATTATGGTATAGTTAGAGCACTCTTGTTTCCAATGCTAGTGTAATTACCTTTGAGGGGGAGAGGACATAAACATGGAGGCAAGCTTAACAGCGTCTTTGTGGCAGTTGATGACATGATTGAAGCACAAATAACGTCCGTATGATGAGACTTCTTCAAAGATGCAAATATGGGCATCCACCAAAAACCAGAGATCTACAGCCACAAGAACTCCATTTTCGTACATCTCAGCTGCACCTTTTAGGTATGACGGAAAACTCTGTATGCTGTTATTTGCAGCAGGATGAGCAGCAGAAGTTTTACGCAAGTTATTATCTAACAACAGCCCTCCATTAACTGACACCATGCTCACTCCTCTGTCCATTGCAAGTGCCCACGCTGTCTTCTCTGCTAGTGTTTTTGACAATGCATGCCATAACTGTTACAGTTCATTCATATTAAATTGAAATCAGTTGATCATGTTTCTTGTTGCAACGTTCTTGAACTTTAAGAACATATTAGAAATTAGCCTTGATGAAAAGCAGAAACGCTGCTAGCCTGTGTGAGTACCTTGAATTTCTTACAGAAGTTGATATCGCTCCAACTCTTTTCATCGACATCACAATACGATGATGCACCATCACGGGTATCTGTCCAGACAACAGCTGTGGCGGAAGAAGTAAAGATGACCTTCTCTATGGTGGGTGTCTGGGCACATGCTTCCAGAACATTATGTGCTGCTCTCACTTCTATGTCTGCCATATGTTCCTGTAATGTGCCAATCCAAATGCTGTCAAGTATAATCTAACTTCCAGAAAGCAAGTAATAAGACTGTCTAGTAGGCATCAGCAAGCAGCGTACATCATAAATAGGATGCTCAAACGGAGGCTCGAATATGTAGAACAAGGCAGAGCAGCCACTAAGAGTGTCAAGGATACTGTGATAATCCAATAGATCAGCATGAAAGATCTTCAGGTTTTGTTTTTCGTCCCCAGTACATTGCACTTTCATGCTTTGCAACTTCCCTGTAAAAGATAACTTTTATAAATAACAAAATATTTAAGAGGCTTAAAAACAGTATTTAGAGCCAAAATCCTGAACTCTAAAAAACTCTAAACTCGCGTACTTAATTAGTCTTGGTCTAGTGGTGAGGACTGAAAAGCTGAATTTGTTGCCAAGAATTTGTCGCTTGGCAACAAATTCAACTCCCCTTCGTATTCATTGAGGGGACCAAATCTAAAATGGCCCCACAAGAACTCTAAAAAACTCTAAACTCGCGTACGACGAATGTGAGATAATGTAAAGTGTAGGACAAAAACCTGTACTCTAGTTTTAATTCCAGATATTTCTCATTATTATTTGATTAGATGTAATTGTATAAATAAACAAAAATATGCCCATAAATTATTGTAATTTACTTTCTTTGGTGGGGGATGAGAAATTGGAAATAGTGAATAAGACACTAAGCAATTGAAACAATATCAATCAACAATTAATTGAAAATTAGAGAGAGGAAAGAATCAAATTCCCACATGAAAAGACATAATATGACTGTTGATCACGTTTCACATAAATTTGGCATATTATATCATATATTTATATTCCCTCGAATTTCACTCATGAAAAACAGCATCTTGATTATCAAGCTAAAACTAAATCATTAAATACACTATTATAAAGAACTTAGTTACAAATCTTGTGTTGGTGTATAGAGAGCCACAAATATAGTCACGTAGACAACATTAATTCTTTTAATAGGTCTCGGACTTTTGAGTACCACCTCCAAAGATATCAAACGAAGTAAGAAAGTATAGACAAAATTAAAATCATGAGAAAGAATCAAACCTTTGGAATGAGATTGAAGAGCAGCATGAACAAAGTAACCTCTTTGCAAGAGTTTTTTAACAAGTTCAGACCCAAGTGACCCTGAAGCATCCATTACACCAACTGTCTTTTGTTCCCTTGACATTACTGATGAATTAGGGAGCTGATTCTTCATTCCGTTATCGCTGCCACCGCCGCCTCCGCCCGATTCTTGTGGGGCCATTTTAGGAATTTTACTGATAGGAAGGAAGAGAAAAGAGTAGAAGAATTTGGTTGATAGATTAGCTGACAGCCTTAACACCAGCATTTCAAACAGGCTGATGTCTGCCTAAATACATATACTTCAGGGGTAGTTTTGGAATTTCACTAAGTTGAGATTGGTTAGTTTGAAATTTTGGTTAGTTGGGGGACTGGTAGTTAGTAGGAAGCGGGAAATGAAGAGAAACACATACTAGTCTTGACCCATTTAATTAATTACTCTTTATTTATTTAATAAATCTATCATTTCCATTTATTATGAAAAAATTAAACCAACAATTTTATGACTCGTGGAATCAAATAGTTCTTTGCTTATTTTCTGCCACGAATTAGAGCATTAATACAGAAGTTTTGTGGCCAAGAAAATACTTTTAGCATTTGGGGCAACTATTTGTTGGTACTATCTCCGTTTCGTAGTTGGTCAGTCGGTCACATTTGATTTTTTCTGATATAAAAGTTATTGAACTTGCATACTTAAAACTACTCCGTATCTTAGAAATTTAGTGTATGTTATTTCATTTTTTTTTATAATCGCAATATATTTTCTTAACACGTACAAATATATTTCAACGATGAGGTGAAGAGTAAAGGGTTGAGGGAAAAGGTGTTCAAGTTATTTCAATACATGTATCTACGAATATTTTACCTTCTCTTATTTATTCTGTAAAATGCATGTTATAAAAATACGTAACGATTGTAAAAACACAAAAAAGAGGAGTATTCGATGACTTGAAATAGTCAATATACATGAATACCAATGTGATATAGTCTTGTATATTTATCTACCCAAGTTATCAATATGAAACTCCATAATTAGGGAACAGGTAAACAACAAAAATAGATTATAAAAAGGGAGAAAAAGAAAAGGATGTCAAAATTACGTGTGAATATGGAACTAAAACTAGAGGAAATGAAGAACTCTCAACAATTGAACAAAGTACAAGTGCTTAAATTGTATACGAAAATAAAAGAGATGAGTCATAACTCATAAGTAATCATAAAATAGTAGTCCATAGAATTTATTATTGCGACAAAATAGACCTAATTTTATGTCCAAATTTATACCATTTCTAGTAAAATAGACAACTAAACTACAGTACATTGAATTAATTGAAATAGCGTGAACAGGAATACAGCAAAAGTTCTCATGTTTTTGAGGCAAAGTGTACAGGATTATTTATGACCTGAAATCAATAATTAACCTGAATTTCTACATAAATTGATCAGGTTCTACCTAAATTGAATAATACGGAGTATTAAAAAATAAACTAGTAATTGTTATATTTGAGTAGTACATACTTCATATAACTATAAGGTTATGTTTAGTTCACCTTATTTTACAAGCATCAATAGGGTGTCGGTCGTTGCAAAATCCAAACCTGTCTCTGTGATAGGATCATACCAACTTAAGCAAGCTCAGAAGCTAACTTTGATCTCAAGAGAACCAGAAGAATAAATCCAGCACGGTGTGTGGTCTCGAGATGCTCCTATTTGGTCAGTTAAAACTTTTACTGCTATATATGCCACAAACTTCAAAACAATGCCATTGTATGTGGACTGTGATTAAGTGATTCATCATAATGTGCTGGCCTCACTAATCCGAGAAACAAGTGACGCCTTGGAAAGCATCCAGTAGCTCAAATTATAAGCCTGGTTTCTTATTTTTGGCTACCTCAGGATTGATCCTTGCTCTGAATGAGATTGTGATCGTGTCACTACTCTCTTTTGTACATATAGGAGATTGCGGAATTCACGTCTTCAGGAGGATGTCAAAATGAGAATTCCTCGGGTAGTTCTTGATATTTGACCAACAGATACCTCTTGAAGCTTTGTTTCAGGTTTTTACCTGCTCACCAAGGTAATACGGTCAAAAAAATTGAGAAAATCACGAGTCTTTATTCCAATATCTTCACACATAAGACAGAAGCTTGTTCATGTTACCTTTAGGTTGGAAGAATGATATGTCATTTGAAAGATTTGACCGAACTACTTCCACAAGATCTTTCCCTGACAACATTTTGGAACAAGCTCAGGGAACATTTAGAAACTGTAAACACATCTGCTTAAAGTTGCCTGCTTTCCTTACCAGTTATACGCTTTTCTCCAACATTGGTATTTATCAATAAAGGATTTATCGTAATTTCCTTCATCTGCGAAGGCATAACCCCGGATATCAGAAGATAGTATATGGCAACAACAGCAATAAGAGTTGCATCAAGCTTCTAAAAATATTGAATTTATACGAAGGAAATTCTTAAACCTTGGCAAAAAGAGCCTTTGATAGCTCCAAGGGATCAATACATGACGGGCCTGAATTAAATGCAGGAATGTACTTGCCATTCTGATATCCAGCTAGGAAGTGAAAAGCAGCTTGACCTGGAGAAAGCTTTGAAATAGCAGGAAGGACTCTGGAGCTGATTACAAAAGGAAAAGGCATCCAAAAAAAAGATCTATTCATCAGAAAATTTTGGAAGTTGTTTTCAACGACAATATGGAAAAAATATCTTTGATAAGTAAACACAGAAGAAGTCTATGGATTTATTTCCTCTACTACAACAAAGCCTGTAGGCTGTAGCCTACGAATTAACAAAGCAAACTCAGCTGTTGTACAGAGACTGACTTTGACGTTCACACAAGGCCAGAAGCAATATCAGGGACATGAACTCAACACTCTTCCCCAATGAGAATAGCGCACTTGGGACATTGGAGAAATCTAAACGGTCAAAATGTCAAATACACACTGTTGGGGCAAAGGCACATTTCATCATAGGTTGTATGTGTAATTGTGAATCAAATGGCACTCGACTAATTTCTATGAAATATTTTGTTGTATCAGTTAGAATTTTTAGTTTGAGGATAAGAATATGGAAGGAACATGTAGCCATGAAACGTAACAGAAACACAGCAGCAATAAAATGATTTCTTTACCTATCAGAACATGCAAGGATAATAGCAGCAGGCAATTTGTACAAGCTTGGTGTGTCAGGGTTGGAAATTTTGGCTCGGAAAAAGGGTGCAACACCTTGAGGAGCAAGGATAACACCTGGATCTGCAGACACCAACAGATCTGAAGAGCTCTGAATAATGTCTTCTGGTGCGAACAAGAGTACTACTGATTCTCCCAGCTCCACAATCCTGTATTTGTATAAAATTGAGCAATCACAAAACTTACATTTCAAACACTTTGAAAGCCAATGGAAGCAGAACAGTTTACCGAGCTGCCAGTGGGATGCCTCCTCGAGCTGCTAATATAGGTTCTGATAAAGCTGCCAAACTTCGTTTGACTCCATTTGCATCAGCAAATGCTTTACCACATAAAATAAGAGAAGAACGCTCAGTGTCAGCAGCTAGAAACCCCATACTTCCTTTAGAACCAAGACCAATTGCACTCTCTATTGCTTCAGTACTGCAGAGACAAGAGTAAGAATTGAACAGTTTTGGAAACTCATTACATCAAAACTAATGGAGGGAAACTAGCTAGAACTGCCCTTATTTTCAAATTTAGTTTTTTTTATTAACAGAAAATAATCCCTCAAACTACAGGCAGTCATTCACATATATTCCACTATTATACATCACAACATCAGTAGACCAATTCATAAATTCCACGTGGAATGCTCTAACTAATTAAGTCTATATCAACACACCTTATAGAGGAAGCAACATAAGTTGTTACAGGACAGGTATCATGTGAAACTGCACGAATTGAGGCACTCCAAAGAACATTTGATAGTGAGAGTATAGCTGATGGACTATCACTTATCACACGGACTTTTGCAGAACACCTCGATGATGATCCAACAGCTCCATCGTGAATAAAAATGTTTGAGATTGATGACAAATGACTAGCGACCTAAATCTCATTTCAACAAACAAAAGACTAAAATCAAAACCTGACCATTAATATGCCATCCACTTAACATTCTAAGTTGGATATTTCATTTAAACAATGTGATGATAATATAATTCATAATCGCAATAAAAGAGAGAGAAAATCCAGTTAGCTGTAAAAGATTCACACATGCCTGTTTCAGCAATTTACTGAACTGTGCCTTCGAAATTTCTGAACATTCTCCAGTCACAGTTCCCCTGACATGAATCGGGAGCCCTGATAGAGACTCTGCAAAGATGAAATGAAAGCAGAAGCTTCTGAGCTATTATGCTAAAAACATGGGGAAGGAAAATAAGGGGCAACAATTTGATACCTGTAATGGTTGCACCTTTCTGCTTTAGTTCAAATGTATTCAAGTTCAGAAAAAACTTGTCTTCCACAATTACACCTCTTGCAGCCAAAGCTGACTGCAGGCCATACGCTCCGGGGTCTCTCTTCAGGGAATATAAGAAGAAAAAAAATGGGGTAAAGGAAACATTTCAGGGGGTACAAGAACAAACAACATGGTCTAAAATGAAGGAGATGTATCAAAAGTTACATAACCCAAACGCTTCTTACAATTATAACAAACATGCCAATACGTGCAAATTAAAGTTGTGTGATTGCCTCCTCTTAAGATAAAAATAACTTCAATAAGTAAAACCATGTATCCTACTGGCAATTGTAATCCTTTATATTAATCAATCCTCATCACTCACTACCTGAACAAATACACATTCTTGCCCATGATTCATTTGTGGGAGCTCCACCCATCTTTGATAGCAGTTTCAACACAAGTCACAGACTTTGATTGCAATTCAACTAATTCCTCCAAATACAGTGGCATAAAGAGCCAAGGGAATAAAGCTGACCTACAAACTTACCAAAACTTTTTTACAACCTTGAAAAATTTGTGATCATTTGGTTGATTATGAGGTATTCTGAGTAAAAATCTAGATATTTGCAACAGAAGAAAGACCAGTTCCCAAGTGCCTAACATAATCCACCCATGAGCTAAGAGGGTGGTGCCAACTTCCACCCATTATCCCAAAATCCATACTCCGTATATATAATAATCTGCGTACATTATGGTTCTATACTTCTACATTACTCAACACTTCATTTCGCCTCAAGTACTCATGTCAAATCCTCGACACTCCAACATGGGTATAGACACTACAACCCTTCATATTGGGCCAAAAACATACAAAATTTTCACAAATTAATCTCGGAGTAACATACATATCAAAATTTTCAGGTATAGTTTCCCTTTTCAGTCCAATTTGTAAAAATAAATTGGCAAATCAAAACTTCAACAATAGTAATATTGAGAAAGGAAAATTTACACGGTAAGGTCTGTGATGCAAGCTAATTGGTGACGGAGCTTCCGGAGAAAACAAGTACCTGCTCAAATGTTAGCAGAAACAGAGAAAACCCCAGAAAAAAATTTGAAGAGACGAAAGAAAAACAGGAAAAGATAGATAGAGTAAGAGAAAAACTCGCCGGAAGTTGCGGTACAGTGACATTATCGTCTTCTTCCTCTATATTTTTCCGGTATATCTTACGTTTTCCGGCGACGCCAATGGTTAATTACCAGTCACTACCGCTTCCCTGTCCAAACCACCCGCAAGCAAGAAATGTTGGTTCTTTTTTTTTTTTTTTTTTTTTTTTTTTTTTTTTATCGCACGTCATTTTCGTAAATAAATCAATACTTCATAACTTGTTTCTTAAAGTGGGTGCGCAGTGATAACGACCGGATAAAGCTGTTGAGTTATTTATCTAAATACTCCCTCCATTCTTTTATAAGACATCTGAAGAAATGATTAATAAAAGGCGAACTAACACATGAATGAGACGGTTTTGGATATTATATAGGCCTAAGGGCTCTTTGACAACTCCAGAAAGCACCTCGATGCCTAATCTTAACGAGTCCAAAAATGTTATCAGAAAGCTGAATTTAAGGGCTATAATACATGAAATTGGACCCCTCTTTGGAGATTCAGAGAGTCTTGCATCAAAAACTTAAGTGATGCCAGGAGTGTGCATCCTAGATTCATATAATGTAGTGTGGATGTGGACCCATATATGGCCATTAGTCAATCACATAAAGCCCCATGATTTCCCTTAAGTTGATGAAACGAGAAATGTACATAATCGGCTAAATTGTTCCAAACTTTCAACTACCTGAATGGCCTCCTAGGGCCTTATGGGGCTTGTGGAAAATATCTTGTCATTTTTTCTTTCCGTGTTCGAACAAGTAGAAAATTGTCTAAAATTAAGGTTATAAGCCACGCTTTTAGGCCAATTTCGAGAAAATTTTTCCTATGGAGGTGCCCCTAGGGTATAAAATTTTTCCTATGTTGGATTTCCAAGAAAAAAGAAAAAAAAACAAAGTTTTGTTTGCAATTGTCACTAGTTTCGACGATATTATCAATTTGATATCAATGTGTTTGCTGATGATTAAGGCGCAGGAATATGTTTTATACTCTATTAATTTCTGTAAAAACAAAGTAACCGCAATAACAATGACAAAGTAACCCCTACTCTCGTGGTTTAAATAAATGAAACGTTTTTCTTGTACACATATGCCAATGCAATACTTTGACTGATAATATCTTTGATTATCAATAAGTAAAAATTATAACAATGAAATATTAATAAACTATTCGATGAGACGATTCCAATTAATAACCACAAGACTATATTTATTCTTATGTATAAATCACAAACATTAGTCAAAGTGAATTAGATAAATAGTGCAAAAAGTCAAAATGTTTTATTTATTTAAACACGAATGAGTATTATATTGACAAAATAACCCTTATTATTATTTTTATTTTATTTTGAATAGACAAAATAACCCTTATTATACTCATTGAGTAACCCTCAAATAATAAACAAAGTAACTCATACAACACTGACATAACAACCTCTAATTCTCTTTTTCATAAAATTTATATAAATTCTTTCGAATGGCTTCCTTCCAGCCAACCTCCGAACCCCTTTGAAACGACTGATCAGCAAGCAAGATCCAATAAAAAACCTAATCGGAAAATCACTCATTTGTTTTTGGGAAAGAATCTGATAACATGGAGAAATATATGGAGATAGAGAATGCTGAAATACAGAACTTGTTTCAACCCAGCAATAGCGAAGCTAATAGGGGAAATCTCAACCCTCCTGTTCTACAAAATGGTTCACAACAAAAATCCTTTAGGGATTTGATAAGAGACACTCAATTGGAGGATCAAGCTGTTACTGTTGACCATTTTGATTTGGATGATGACATGGATGTCTCTGATGATGATGAAGCGCCAGCAGATGTAATTGATAGTGAAAGATGCCCTGTTATCTTGCTATCCAAGGAGGAGAAGAAAGCCATGCGCAAGCCTTTGAGGCATACCTTAATTATCAGAATGTTTGATGCTACATGGGTCTAATCAAATGTCTGAAGGGAAAATGGCAACACAAGGGAGACTTGAACCTTACTGACATAGGGTGTAAGTACTTCATAGCAAGATTTAACAATGTTGATGATTACAACTATGTTCTCACTCGGGGTCCATGGTTGATTGATGATAAGTATCTCACGATTAGAAAATGGACACCAAACTTTATCCGAGGAAGCTTCCATTAGTGTCCTTACAGCTTGGGTGAGAATTCCCAATCTTGCTGTCGAATATTTTGACAAAGATTTCTTAAGAAAAATAGGAGCAAAGATTGGTAAGGTAATTAGAGTTGATAGCTCAACAACCTATGCGGAGATGGGTCAATTTACACTGTTGAGTGTTGAGATTGATTTATCTAAACCTTTGTTGGCCAAATTTTGGCTTAAAGATAAATTCTGGAGGATAGAATATGAAGGCATTAAGATGATATGCTACAAATGTGGAAAGCTTGGGCACTTGGAGGAACATTGTGAATCAAATCATCCGAATGAAGAGATGGCAGTTGATAAGACTAACGAGCAATCCATTGTCAAAAATCAGGTGAAAAAGCCTCCAGAGCAGAGACCTGAAGAGGTGGATGACTTTGGCTCGTGGATGCTTGTGAAAAAACCAGTGCGCAAGAAAAATGCCAGGCCGGAAAAGACAGCTCAGGTGGCCGGAAAAAATGGTGGTACTAATTCGAAGGAAGATCCCCAACCTAAGGTCAAAAGTAATCCCGTGAATCAAGTAGCAGCTAGCGGGTCGGGCTCAAGATTTGGGGAGCTAATTCAGGAAGGGAATTATGATGATATCAACCAAGAAAGGAATATCTTGAATCAAGCTAATCAAGGTGCTATTCTTAAGGAAACAGGGGAGAAAGATAAGGAAACAAATTTGTCTCCTATAAATTTTCATACTTCCCATATATAAATTTGTTACAGTAAATCTAGGAGATAATTCCCAAAATCCTTTTGATAAGATTTCAAAAAATATTCCCTTTTCTTTTGGTAAAGATAATCAAGGAAAAAAGATTTGGACTCCATCCAAAAATAACAATAAGGATTCTCAAAAAAGTCAGCAGTCTTTGACCAGGTAATCGACTTTGCCTCTAAACCCTACGAGAGAAGTGATTAAAGAATCCCCTAACACTGGAAAAGTAAACGTTACTAGCGGCCTTTTTGAGAGTTCGAAATAAGGAGCATCAGAAGCTATCACAGATTGTCAAGAAGTTGTTCAACTAACTGATATTACCAATGAACAATCACATATTTCCCCCACCTTCGAATGTGACTCTTCTAGAGATTCCCCCGATGAAAACACTATGTGTTGGACAGCTAATGGAGGTCCTATACATGGACTCTTGGGTGGAACCGATTCCGAAGTCAATGGAGTTAGTGGTCACCCTACAAATTCCCAATGAAATTAATCGTTTAATCCGATTAAGATCAGATGCTTATTTAAGTTCTCTCACTTCCATTCCTGTTTCTATGGGAGATACATTTCCAAATTTAGCCCCAAACTCTACTCCGATATCATGCATGGTTTGGAACGTGCAAGGAGCTGGAAATCGA